CCAATCTTACTGGTTTTCTCAAAGAACCAACTCTTTGTTTCGTTGATTCTTTGTATTTTTTTGTTTGACTTTTTGTTTCTATTTTATGGATGTCATTCCTAAATTAGATTATTCTTGCTGTCTTCTCTTTTTGGGTGTGATTTTTTTCTTTTGTTTTAGAGCTTCCAGGTGTGCCGTTAAGTTACTAGTATGAGGTCACTCTAATATTTTATTTAGTCATTAAGTTCTGTGAATTTGCATGTTAGAACCACCTTCATTGTGTCCCATAAATTTGAATATGTTGTATATTTATTTTCATTCAATTCCAGAAAGTCTTTAATTTAATTCTTTACCCATTTTTCTTCTTTCAGTAGTTAGTTGTTCAGTATCCCTGAATTTATAACCTTTCTGTTTTCTTTTTTTGTTGATACCCAGTTTTAATCCATGGTGGTCAGATAGGATGCATGGCATTATTTCAGTTTTCTTTTATCTGTTGAGAATTGCTTTGTGTCTGAGTATGTGGTCAGTTTTGGGAAAGTCCCATGAGATGCTGAGGAGAAGGTACATTGTTTTGTGTTTGGGTAAAATGTTCTATGAACATTTGTTAGGGCCATTTGGTTTATAACATGTTAGTTCCAGGATTTCTCTGTTTAGTTTTTGTCTGGATGATCTGTCTATTGGTGAGAGTTGAGTATTGATGTCTCTCATTATCAGTGTGTGAGGATCAGTGTGTGATTTATGCTGTAGTAGTGGTTCTTTTAGCAACTTAGGTACATACATTTCTAGAATTGCAGTGTCCTTTTGAATTTTTCCTTTGATGAGTATGTAGCTTCCTTCCCTATCTCTTCTGGTTAGTTTTGGTTTGAAGTATATTTTTGCCAGATATTAAAATGGCTATACTGACTTGCTTCGTAGGTCTATTGGCTTGGGATATCTTTTTCCACCCCTTTACTCTGAGGTGATGTCTGCCCTTGATGTTAAGTTGTCTTTCTTGGATGCAGCAGAAAGATAGGTCTTGTTTTTATATCCATTCTGTTAGTCTGTGTCTGTTTATTGAGGAATTGAGAGCACTGATGTTGAGAGATATCAATGAACAGTGTTTGTTGATTTCTGTTATTTTGTGGTGGCAATGGTATTGGTGTGTGTGTGTGTGTGTGTGTGTGTGTGTGTGTATGTATATTTCCCACTTTTGATTTGCTTCTCTGGGATTATTTGTTGTGTTTTGTTGGGTGAGATTATCTTCTTTAGGTTTGAGTTTTTCTTCTAGCTCCTTTTGTAGGGCTGGGTTTATAGACAAGTACTGCCTAGATTTGGTTTTGCCATTTGTCTTATTTTCTCCATCTATTGTGATTGAACATTTTGTTGATATAGTGGTTAGGGTGGGCATCTGTGGTCTCTTAGAATCTATAGAACATTTCTAGGCCCCCTGGCTTTTAGAGTCCTCCATTGAGAAGTCAGTTGTTCTAATTTGTCTGCCTTTATATGTTACTTGGTTTTTCCTCTTTCAGTTTTTAATATTCTTTCTTTGTTCTGTACATTAATTATATAACTGTTCTGTTAAATAATTGTTCTGTGTTCAATTATTATGTGCTGAGGGGAATTTCTTTTCTGATACAGTCTATTTGGTGTTCTGTATTCTCTTTGTACCTTAATCGGCATCTCTTTTAGGTTAGGGAAATTTTCTTCTATGATTTTCTTTAAAATATTATCTATGCTTTTGACCTGGGTTTCTTCCTGTTCCTATTATTCTTAGATTTGGTTCTTTTCAGAGTGTCCCAGATTTCCTGGATGTTTTGTGCCAGGATTTTTTTTTTTAATATTTTCTTTGACTGAGATACCTATTTCTTCTTCTGTGTTTTCAGTGCCTGAGATTCTCTCTTCCATCTCTTGCATTCTGTTGGTGAGGCTTGCCTTTGAGGTTCCTATTAGAGTTCCTAAATTTTTCATTTCCAGATTTCCCCCAGTTTGGGTTTTGTTTATTCCATTTCCAATTTCAGGTCTTGAACTGTTTTATTAATTTTCTTCCACTGTCTGTTTATGTTTTCTTCAAGATTTATTCATGTTGTCTTTAAGGAGTTCTATCGTATTTATAAATGCTATTTTAAGATCATTGTCTTGTCCTTTAGCAACATGGCAATACCCAGTACACAGGGCCTATTGTGGTCAGCTTACTGGTATCTAGTAGAGACATACTGTCCTGGCTGTTGGTGATTGTGTTTTTACACTGGCACTGAATCATCTGGGTTTGGGAAAGATTATAATTCTAGGTGCTGATAACTGGTCTTGTCTTTGGCGAATGTTTTGTTCTTTGGGTTTTGTTTCCCTTTCTGGTTTTTCGGAGAGTGTGGTGGCTGTGTGTTGTCTAGTAGGTAATTCTTCTGGGATCCTGAGAGGTGTGGCCACTGGGGGTTTCAGGTCAAATGTGTTCCTAAGTATTGGGACCTGATAACTAGGAATGGGGATGAGCATTTTTTGGTGGTGGTGGTGGGGGCTCAAGGAATACACAGGAGAGAGAAAAGCAGGGTGTTCCACCAGAATCTGCTAAGGCCTGGGAATGGAGGCAGAAAGTAAAGAGATGCTACAACATGCATATGGTCTGCTAGAGAGCTGGGATGAGACCTGGGGACTGGATGTGGAGGAGAGGAGGGAGAGTGGAGATCTGAAGCTTGCCTACCTTCTTTGCTTCCCTACTTGGCTTTTCTGTCAGAGTTGGCTGGAGAGTTCCCAAAGAAAGCGTGCTGGAATTGGGGCCTCTAGCAGGATGAGCGAGGAGGAAGGTTGGAGAAGACCTGTGTGCTCTGCTGGAGATGGAGGCAGAGAGGAGGGGCGCTGCAGCAGCTGGTCTGCTCCAGAGCTGGGGTGAGACGGGGGTGAATTCAGGAGGGATGGAGGAGAGGTGAGGATCTGCAGTCAGCCTGCCTGCTTCCCTCACTGGAATCTGTTGTTTTCTTAATGACTTCTCTTCTGACTGGCATGAGATGGGATTTCAGTTTTCATTTGCATTTCTCTAATGGCTGGTGAAGCTAAACATTTCTTCTTCATATGTTGTTTCTTGGCCATTTATGTTTCATCTTTTGAGAATTGTTTTTATTTTACTAGCCCATTTATCATTTGGGTCGATTGACTTCTTTGTGGGTTTTTTAAACATTTTCTTGTTTTTTGTATATTTTGAAGTTATTGCACTGTTTATTTCATCCAGAATAGTTTTGTTTTCCCAAGCAGGTGGTCAGTGTGGATGAGAAATCAGCGTAAGAAGTGTCATTTTTCTTTCGAGTCTCATTTTTTCGTTTGTATTCAATGTGTGGGTGTTTAGAACTGGAGCTGCAGGGTGCTGTAAGCCACCAGCTGCTGGGATTGAACCCTGTTCCTGGAAGGTCAGTCAGTGCTCAGACTGTTGAGTCTCCTCTTCAGCCTCTAATTTTTCCTGTAGTTTATATTTTTTTATGAAATTGAATTCATTCAGCCTTCCATTCATTTGGACCTTTTCCAACTTTTTTTTATTAGAAAGTTTAAATTTATACAATGAGAGCTAACAAAAGATGAAAAGTATCAAGATCAAAATAAAACTGAAACTCACAGGAAATTGTTAAATATGTAGAAACTTGCAAAAACAGAATATCACAACATTTTCAGTGGAATTACTAATCAAGTTGAAATATATCTGGAAGTGAATTTGAGTAATTCCTCAGAACATAATCGAGAGTTTAAAATTTTTCTTAAATGATTAGATGCTAATAGAATCAATCATGACTTCTTAGGTTTTAAATATAGCATAGATAACATTTGCTGTGATTTAATTATGGGGTAATTTTCTGTTGAAAGTAATTTTTTCCTCTGTCACAGGCCCCTTTTCTATTTCCTGGCATTTACCCTCCCTCACTCCCACATAGATACACTTAGATAAAAACTAAAAAGCTCAGCTACGCACGTGAGAGAGAACATGTGTTTTTGTCTTTCTGAGTCTGCGTTACCTCACTTTATGTAATATTTTCCAATTCTACGAGTTTTCCTGTAAGCTGCATAATTTTATTTTTCTCTGTGGCTAAATAAAAGCCATTGTGCACATGTGTACCATATTATCATTGTTCATAAGTCTGTTGATGGTCATCTAGGCCGAATCAATTTCCTTGCTATTTTGAATAGAAATAGTGGAAAGCATGGGTATGAGGTGTCCCTATTGTAAGATATGGAGCCTCTGGAAGACACCTGGGAGTTATGTAGCTGGGCTTTATGGAAGTTCTGTTTCTAGCTTATGGGAAACCTCCAGACTGATTTCCACAGTGGCCTTACAGTTTGCATCCTACCAGCAGTGAGTAAGTGTTCTTTCTTCTCTGTCTTCAGCATTCGTTGTTCTAGAGAACACTATGACTGGGATGAACTAGGGTCTCAGAGTAGTTTTAATGTGTATTTTTCTGATGTGTAAGGATGTTGAACATTTTAAAAACATTTATTGGGTATTTTAATTTCTTCTTTTGAGAACCCTCTGTTCAGCTCTTGAACCTATTTTTTTTATTGTTGTTTTTGTTTAGTTTTTGAGTTCTTTGTGTGTTGTCGATACACCCCCCCCCCCCCATTCCATAGGCTGCCTCTACTTGATTAGCTTGATTTTGCTGTGCAGAAACACTTTTAATTTTACAGGGTCTCATTTGTTGATATGTGGCCTTATTTCTGCTTGCTCGAGTCCTATGAAGTGCTTCCTGTGCCCAGACCCTACTTTTTCCTCTAGCATATTCAGAGTTTCAGGTTGAATGTTAAGGTTTTTTTTTAATCTATCTGAAGTTGATTTTTGGCTGAATGAGAGATGCAGATCTAGTTTCGTTCTTCTATATGTGGGTATCTAGTTTTCCTAGCACCAGTAGTTAAAGAGGCTGTTTTTTTCCAATGAATATTACATGTGTTTTTATTTTCATTCATTTTGTGTTTTAAGGAGTAATATAAATTGAAGGGGGAAAAGTAAAACGAAATAATAAATTTCCTTTGCTTTTTTTGTTCTGCTTTCTAAAATACTTTTTGTTTTATAGGGATTTGTCTTGGCTGTTACTATTGCACGTGAAGCGATTGATGAATTTCGACGTTTTCAGCGAGACAAGGAAATGAATTCACAATTATATAGCAAGCTTACAGTAAGAGGTTAGCAAGAGACCTTTAATCCTCCTAGCATTTGCTTAGTGTAAGTGTGTTAGAGTTAACATAGAAAGGGAAGCATACTCATTCTGTTTTTGAAAGCTCACGTGATTGCATATGGGCTCCAATTTTCTTACAATATTTAATGCTAGAATTTCAGGTAAAGTTTTATTCATTTTCTTGATGCTTACATGTGCACATGTGCTTGCATGTGTGTGTGTATGTGTGTGTGTTGTGCATGTGTGCATATGTATATTTTCATCTTTACACACAAACACACATGTATGCATACACTCACACAAACCTATATGGTGTGTTCTGTTAGAATGCTGTAGCAGATTTGAAAGAAACCCAGCTGCTCTGTGCACGTGTTCTGTGATACATGGCAGCACTTTAACGTGTGTCTTATTTTAAACACACCCATCGAGGTCAGTGTTTATGTTATGGCAGTAAGCATCTGAAATAAATGTCATTATCCCGTGTGGCCACGAGTGCATACACATAGTGCTCCTCACCCCACATTCGGGCCTTTACAAATACTAAAGAGCTCATTTTCCTCCTTTTCAGTCTGTAGTTAAAGGGCCCGTTTATCGGGAAGATGATGAGGCAGGCACACTGTTGCACACAGGCTTTGTGACAGTCGAAAAGAGACGTGATGAGTAAGTAGTGTGGGGCACACTGTTACACACGGGCTTTGTGACAGTCGAAAAGAGACGTGATGAGTGAGTAGTGTGGGGCACACTGTTGCACACGGGCTTTGTGACAGTCGAAAAGAGACGTGATGAGTGAGTAGTGTGGGGTACACTGAGACTCTAGGTGAGAGTTAAACCCTGGGGTTCTGTTGAAAGGAAAGTCAGTGGATAGTGTATGTTCTGTCTGTATGTGGCATATACAATGAATAACTTACCTTAAATAATACCTTATTGAGTATGTGTGACTAAAGGTTAATTTATTTAAGACTTACTGGTCAGTGTTTTTGCTCTATTCATCAAGTTAATGTGGTCATCACCATCATCTAAATTTAGAACATTTTTAGCATTCCCCAAAGAAACCCAAAATTTACTGGATCACCTCTTCATGTTTTCCTCCTTTTCTTCCACTGAAGTCCTAGGTGACCTCTGCTCTACTTTTCCGTCTCTGGTTTTGCCTACTCTGGACATTAATATGTGTACAGTCATGTACTGTGAGGTCTTCTGTCATTGACTGTTTTACTTTGGCATGTTTTTCAGGGCTTATACATGTTATAGCATGAAGTAGTATTTTCCTTTTGTTGACAAGTAACATCCCACTGCATGACACATCACATTTTGTTTATCTAGTCAACACTGGTGGGCATTGAGTTGTTTGTAGTCTGTGATGGTTATGAATAACCAACACTCCTGTGAACATTGTATAGCTTTTCGTAAACATCATTTTTATTTCTCTTGGATATATTCCAGCAGGGAGATTGCTTAGACCCTGGTGGTAACTCTTGTTTAGCATTTCAAAAGAACCACCATGACCCTATTTTGTAATTGGTGCATCATTGGCGTTCTTGCCAACAGTGTACCTAGGTTCCAGTTTTGCTGTGCCTTCCCCAGTACTCGTTACTATCTGCCGTGTTTATTGTAGCAGTAGGAGTTAGTTTTATGTGCATTTGCTAATGATTATTGAGATTGAGCGTTTTTGTGTGTTTGTTGGCCATTTGCGTATCCTCTTTGAACAATTGTGTATTTATTTTCTTCACCTACTTTGGACCTGAGCTGTCGGTCTTTCTGTTGCTGACTTGTAAGTGTTCCTTAGCTCTCTTGGGTAAGCCTTTGCCACATTGATGATTGCAGACAGTCTCTCCCATTTGGGGGCCTATAGCTTCACTTTCTTGATACAGCACCCTTTGGTTTGGTTTACTTCATCCGCTTTCCCTCTTGTCTGTGCTTTTGGTGTTGTAGCAAAGAAAGAGTTGGCTGACACTCTAATTTCTCTTTTCTTCTAGAGACTAAGCTCTACATTGAAGTCTGATCCATTTTCATGTACAGTCTATTATATGCGTCCACAATGCTTTGCATGAATATAAAGTTGTCTGGCACCACATGCTAACTACTACTCTCTCTCCAGTGGTTTTAATTATTAAAGAGATGAATGGGCTGGGGAGAGGCTCAGTCACTCAAGTGCTTGCTGCACAAGCACGAGGACCTGGGTTAGGATCCCCAGCGTCCCCACAAAAGCTGAGTCCTGGGTGAACATCTGTAAGGCCAGTACTGGAGGAGGATGTATGTTTGGGGAACAGATTACTGGAGCTCACTAGCCACAATCTAGCCATATCAGTGAGCTCCAAGTTTAGTGAGAAACTCTGCCCCCAAAATTAATATGGAGAGCAACTGAGGAAGCCATCCAGCATTGACCTCTGACCTCCACCCATGTGTGCATACATATGTGAATACATGTAAGTACTAGAAAAGAAAGATTTATGAAAAGAACCCTCAAATGGCCAGGTAAATTAGGTTTGACTTTATATTGAGAACAGATATAGATTCCAGCTTATTGTGAACTTAGTTTTACTCTGATGTTTGCAGTTAAGCGGAGTGTGTTGATGGAGTGGCTATGTCTGAAAATGAGTAGCTGTACTCAGGATGTCAGTGCAGCATGCAAAGCAGGCAGCTCCATGTGCCGTCATTAGGCTGAAATGCTGAAAAGACAAGCAGAAGCCTCCCGAACTGACTTTGTGAGAACTTTGGAAAGCCTTGAAAGTTTTTTAGCACCCATAAGATTGCTAACTCCAGATAAAGGCAACTGAAAAAATGTTAGAAAACTTTCAGTTCTGTTTCTGATTCCTCTGGCTCCAGATCCTCTCCAAGTCTTGAAGATGCATTCGACAGCCTTTTGGAAGAACAGAAATGATTTAAGAGGACTGCTGTTGGTCTTTCTCTGCAGACTGGATGATGGTGGGAAGTGACCCAAGGCAAGGGTTTTTGGCTCACTCTGCTCTGGAACACAGGGCAGAAGATCAGAAAATCAGCAAGAATTTCTCACCTATATGTCAGAATAAAGAATAGTCAAAGTAGTCTGGGGCAAAGAATTACAGTTAAGGCCTAAACTCTAGTGTAGTATAATCAAGTGACAGGCAGCAGAGTAAAGGAGGAAAAATATCTATGCTATTTGAATGTTCAGAATATCTCTATATACTGGAGAGTTTTGAGTCCTGTGTACAGGCTGAGAAATAAGGAAATGCTCAGAAAAGGCCTGAGAAGTTCTTTGTCCTTTGGTTAACTGTGTATGCTCAGTGCAGGTAGGAAGTGGTGGCCAAGGCAGAGTTGTACACTGCCTCATTTGTTGGCTACAGCCTGAAAGAGGACTGGAGCACAGAGTCAGTCTGCAAAGAATGGGACAATTTTTGTTTCCTTCCTCTCTCCTCTTCATATTCCAAGGAATTTCAAAACATTGGCTGATGAGTATAAGCTGATGGAAGAGAAACTTGAGAGAGCACATTTAACAAAGAGTCCACGCAGTATAAATCACTAAAGAGACACTTCTGCAGTACAGATAAAACAACACAACAAGCCTAGACTAGGAAGACCAGCTGAAACATTGTGGTTCCAGATTTACTTTCCACAGCCCACTTTCCCACAAAGATTAAGAAGCTGGCCAAGAATCATTCTCAAGAGAACTTTACAGACCTTTCTGATGAAGGTCAGATGTTGCACTACAAGACATGAAGTTTAAACCAACTGTCTTACCCCTGGTCAAGAAGGCAAGAAAGCCATGGGAGAAACTGCAGAAAGATATCAAGAGAACAATGTATGAATACATAGAGAATAACTGTAAAGATCAGAAATTATGTGAATATGCAGAAGAATTCTGGAGCTGGTCAATAGGCTAGCTGATGAAAGAAACTTAGCAGAAGGTTGTAGTCGAAGATTTGAGTGGACTGGAGTGTCAATGACCTTGACTCTGGCAGTTGAAATGACCACTCTGAGGGGCATAAAACAAGCACAAATGAGCAGTTCCTGAGAGGTGTTGGAACAACAGGAAGTGTACTGACATAGACATCTAGGACAAGAGGGAGGGGAAGGATAGAGCAGGGAAGGAATAACAGCAAGAAGCTTGCTCTGTTTGATCAAGGACAGGAACCTGGGCCTTCAAGTTCCCGCTACTCCTAGAGGATCAAGAGGAAGAGGTCTGCACTGAGGCACAGACTGTTAAACCTGATGACCCAGAGGAAAGCCTAAAAGCAAAGGAAATGGTTCAGATACGATGTGCTCAGATCACAGAAGCAATGGAGATAGATGATAGGACATGTTTTTAAAGCAATGAGAACATGAACTATCAGCCAGGAATTCTCTCTGGTAAAACCATGAATTAAAAATGGAAGAAGAAATTAAAACATTCTTAGATAAAATTCCCTGATAGTATTTAAAATTTTTTACTTGTGTGTGTGTGTGTATGTGTGTATGTGTGTGTATGTATGTGTATGTGTGTGTATGTGTGTGTATATTGTCTGTGCATGGCATACATGTATATGTTAGAGGACAACTTATATGAGTCTGTTCTCTCCTTCTACCATATGTGTCACAGGGACCCAACTCAGATAATCAGGCTTAGTAAAACAAGTGACTTTACCTACTGAACCTTCTTTTTGGTCTACTGATCAGCTTTTATGCACTGAAGGAAACTGTCAAAAAGTGAAAAGAAGGGCCAGAGAGATGGCTCAGCAATTAAGAACACTTGATCTTCTTGCATAGGATACAGGTTCAGTGTCCAGCACCTACCTCAGATGACTCACAAACTCCTGTAATTCCAGTTCCTGGGGCTCTAATACCCTCTTTTGGCCTCCTCAGGCATGTGTACTTGTGGTACATATAACATACACTTAGCTACACACATATAATAATAGATAAATATTAAAAAGGAAGAAAGAACAGAAAATGAGAAAATATGTATAGACCTGATAAAGATTCAGTATCCAGATAGGTAAAGAACTTTGCACTTTACTAACAAAAACTTGACTTAAAAATGGACAAAGAAGCCGG